CGCAATGGTCGCGGTGATAGCGAGCAGCCCCTGCTGCTGGGGCCCCTGCCGGGTCGGCAGGTTGATGAACTTGAGATGGTGGCATCGCGCCCATGTTTACCCCCGGTACTTCGTGGTGCTGCTGGGCACACAGTGCAGGGGGGCGCGGCTGGCGCGGCTCGGGGCCAGGCGAGGCCAGGCGGGGCCGCGCTGACGGGGGCCTTCGCCTCCACTCGGCGCCGTGCGCCGCGTCGTTCTTTCCCATTGTTTTATTTCCCCCTTGCGTCATCGACTCGTCTGCTGGGCCTGTTGTCATCAACCCCTATATTGACGGTGCTCGTCTCTCTCTGTTGCAGCGCGATGACACGTCCCTGCTCGCTCAGTTTTTCTACGCGGACGAGGCGCTCAACATCGTGGCCACGGAGCTGGACAGCTTCGACGGCCGCAAGGACCCGGAGCGCTGCTCGGTGCTGGTGAACCAGCTGCGCCAGTGCCAGGACAAGGTGCTGACGATATGCAGCCGCATCATGGACCAGGTGATCCCGGACGAGCGCGCCGACCGGGACTTTCGCGTCAAGTTCCCCGACGACGTCATGCAGGAGAACCTGGCGGGCCAGCTGTGGTTCGGCGCGGAGGTGGGTGGTCAGAGCAGGAAGTCCAGGACCAGTGCCTGCCATTTTTTGTGCTGATGATAGCCCAGGATCATACGTGTGTGTAACTAAACCTTTGCCTGTGTGTGTGCAGTGTCTGGCGGCTGGATCGAGCATAATGAACCGAGAGACTGAGTCGTCGCTGATGCGACCCCTTGCAAAAGCACTAACCAAGTCATTGGAGAATGTGCGGAATCTCTTGCGCGAGCAGAGTCTGCGGGGTGAATTGCGGAGTGAATTGTTTGCTGCTGAACGGCTGAAGGGAGCTTTAAAGACGTTTGACCGCCTATTTGCGGAGTTTGAGCTTTGCTATGTGAGTGCAATGGTGCCAGTCAAGAGTTTGCAAGAATATGAACTCCAACAGTTGGTTGTTGTTCTTTTCTCTGAAACTTTGCAAAGGTAGGATACTAAACATTTGATTATTTTAATAGTCAGTTCTTTCTTAATAGAAATCTACTCAACTACATA